ATCGCGTATAAAATGTATGAGTACAAATTAAAAATAATATAATTAGTACTATAGATTTTTGAATAGCAGTAAGCCACAACATTAGAAAACAATGCTATTCAATTTTCTTACATTATTTATGTATATATTATCTATGTTTTTTAATTATATTATGGACTTACTTATGGCGTATATTTTATACATTATTTCTAGTATCTAACTGACAAATTACAATTCATTACAATATAGAATGCGGATTTTTAAACTTGTATAATTTAGATTTATATAATAATAGTAATGTGTAGTAGCCACTAGCCATAACATCGATAAAATATATTATTGAATTATTTATAATTTGTAAACATTATTAATATTGACAATGTGTAATAATATTAGGCATTTATCTAAATTGCAGCTTCATTTAAAAAGACGCTACAAGGATATTTGTTGTCTCCATCTTACGAGTGCATAACATACCAAACATACGCTCAGCAGATCACGTTTAACTCAGTAAGTTTAAAAATAAAAGTAAATCGAACTATTATGAAACTTGATGGTAAGACCATTATCTGTGTTTGGGTTAGGGTGTCTTACGATAATTCAGTTTTTAAGTGATTTATGAGCATTTTTAATTTACGCTACATTATTTAGGCATAACTTACTAAAAAATTGAACTATCGTACAAACCCACATAATGAACTTACAATCAAGTTTTATAATAGGTCGATTCACTATAATTTTTAAGCTAACGGAGCTAAACGCGTTTGCCTGAGCGTAAATTTGTTATGTTACGCACTTGTAATTTGTAAGACAAAGACAACAAGTGGCCGTGTAGCGAACTTTTAAGCTATTAACATCACCAGGGAGGGAATGGATTCTCCTGACCTTTTTTTAGATTTGAGTAGAGCAATAATTGTAAGATTTTACAATGTCTATTTATTTTGTTTTTGTTCGTCATCCAATTTTGGAACAGTAAAAATTCTTCAATTTTCTACTTCAGCATATTTTCTGGTAGGAAAGTGAATCTAGTAGGTATTTTGGGGAAGTTGAAAAGAAATGAAAAAATGCTTAGTAGTTAGAATAACAATAAAATAAGAAACCACTATATGAGAAATCGAGTGAATATCCAATGTTGTAAAAATATGAACTTCTCACGCTCATAAAAATTCAATTTGCTTGTAGGCCTTTTTTTTTTTTTGATAAAGGAAGATACGCTTATGAGTAATCTTCTATTATATTTTCAAATCTTAGATTTAAAAAAAAAATTTTTTATTAATTCTCAACTCAAAATAATTTGCTAATTTTCGTGATTTTTTCGTATTTCGTCAAAATATGAACTTTAAATGCTTATAATGCTGTGACTAAGGATTAATTATCTTTTTGAACTACTATTGTAATAATATAGTAGGAGCCTTGTATTAAATTTTCAAGCTTTTTTACCTAACAAATAAAATTTTATTGACATTCATAGAAAAAAGGACTATAATAAAATCGGAAACTGGAAATGTTCTTAAACAAATCAAAACAAATCAAAATATTTTGAAAATATTATCGTGTATAGAAAATGCAAGTATAAACTACCAGTGAAAATTGCATGTAATTACGTTCATTTGTTTTAGAGTTACTCCGAAAACCAAAATAGATTTTATGGAAAACCGATTTTGCGTAAAAATTACAGTTTTTCCTTAATTTTTATGTTGTTTTTCCCGTCGCTTTTGAAAACTATTGGGAATTTTAAAATTTGACCTCCCGAATGCACCAACTAGATTCACTTTCCCATCGAACAAGATACTGTTGAAGAAAATCGAAGCAGTTTTACTGACCTAAACCGCGATGAATGACGGGCAAAAAAAAAAAAAATAAAAAAAAAACACACATCATTGTAAAATCAATACATTGATCGTTTCACTCAGAATCTCAAAGGTGGGCAAGTGGATGTCGCTCTGCTGTACAGTAAGTTACAAGTGGGTCATTGTATAATGGATGGTATTAAATTTGAATTCAATGAAATAGTACCTGTTTAAATTTTAATAATTTATAAAACGATATTCACCATGTCACATATACGTGACACCGGTCCACCTAAAGACACTTGGCCATGAACGTGTTAATTAAAATTTTAAATTTAGAGCAAGTTGATATTTCAGATTATTTTAAAATCATAATAGCTTACATAGTTATTCCTGACTCTAAATTTAAAACGTCAGTAAAAGCCTCTAGATCTATATAAGGTCCATAGATAATATTCTATCTTTATGTTTTATAATAGGTCAATTCACTCAAATAACAACACAGGATTGGTTCTGCAGAATGCATATTTTCTGTGTTGTGTATGGATTAAAGAGAAAACAAATAAGTAGTGCGCTTACATTATCTTAAGAATGATTTTAAACTTAACAAAATTTAATGTGGAGAACAATTAAGAAGAAAAGGATGAAATGGTTGAGGCATCAAATGAGGAATAACACAAGGGCTTACTATACAACAACTTATAAAGTCCTTAAAGGTTCAGACATGGGCGCCCGCAAGGGGGTGCCAAAGGGGCTATTGCCCCCCCTGGGAATTATTAACTGCTTGTATTTTAATATCGCTATAACTAATATTAGATTATAAATAATTTTTATCTTGTCTCGGGTGGGATTTTATCCTGCAGGCGCACTTGGTTTCAGATGGAGAAGAATGGGAGAAAATCAAAATCATCTAATGATTGAAAAAAAAAAAAAAAAAAAAGGTAATATACATATTTAACCATGCACAACACATTACTCATTTGTAAAGCTTCAAATTTTTCAATAAAATATTACAATATGTCAATAAATTAACAGGTATCTGATTAGCTTCTGGCTTTTGTAATCGATACTTTATTGATTGCATTTATAAAAAACCAAAGTAAATATTGCACAAAGTAAAAAATTTAGATCACTAATTTTGAACATCTAGTTTCCATTTTAATAAACAAATAATCTAATTTTTCATTAGGACTTTAATAAAATATTATTTTCAGATTTTAATTTAAAATGTTTACAACATTAATTAAAATGTAGAGCTTACCTATCAAATACAATATTATCTTTGAATTAATTAATAAATATAAAGGTAATAGTAGCAATAGGTAAATTTAGACAAGCATACCTGACAAGTAGTAATTTTTGTTGAATAAATCACACAAAATAATTATATATTATATTATATCAATAATTAATTTTGGGGATATTGATAAGGCATATCATTAACAATAATTAAATTAAACTAATTGATTACCATTATTTAGGTGTTCACTATTTATAATCCCATGTTTAGTTTAATTACAAACTAATTTAGAAATAGATAATTACCTAGCGCATTGTATTATTATTTTTGATTATATTTATTAAAATTACTATTAAGTATTTATAATGGAAAGGTATAACGGCTGGGACAATTTTAAATCATTTGAGTCAAAAATGTTGAATAAATCCTGAACAAATGTAACAAACATAATAAATCACAGAATAGTAAACACTTTAGAGTCATTAATGTTTACCTACATAGTTTTATAATAAAAAAAATATATGAAAATACTAATGGCAAATGACAACCAATACAAGTTAGTAGGTACATAAAGTAAACAAAATCGAATTCATGCATAACAAAAATATAATATGCTTTGTCAGTGATACAAAATAAAATCATACTTTAGTCATTACTCGTAATAGAAGTGTCAAACAACGCAAAAAAAAATTGTCGTGTAGGTACTAGTCATACGTAAATACGTAATAGGTAGTTCTTAGAAAAAAGCCGAGATCGCATAATATTATATATTTATTATTTTTATTATGCTATGATGCTATATACATATTTTGTACATGTCACATATTATTATACATTATCGCCGAATGTATTCGGTAGAGTGGATTCGTAAATGGCAAAAATAAACCAGCGAATAAGTAAACTACTTACTCGTTACTTGGATATTACTGCAGGCAGTGTGATGAAATCCTTTCGGGGACCGTAAACTGAACGGGCCCTTACACACATTATTATAATAAAAAAATAAATATATTGAGTGTGTTCTTACTATTATAAACAAAACAAGTAGATATAAATATTTAAATTAATTAGCGTAATGTAAACAGAGGAATAATATTTTTAAAAACAAAAAACAAAATAAACAAAAATTGCACTAAGATGAAAACAAAAACAAAACAGTCGGACCGCCCCGGACCGTGAAGCGTTATCACGTATTTGCAATTTTGTTCCGAATAAAATTCGTGCCGTGATTGCGACGGACGGAGGTGTGTGTACGCGCGCGAATGCACACGTACGACGTTACTATGGTACGCGGGTCGACACTCGACCGCCTTGGAAAGAGGCCACCACCCGGCGGGGGTTCTTCGGGCACCGGGCGACGACGAAAATCCATTCTCCCGCACCGCCACTCAACCGCGCAACTAGAGGCACCGGTGTTGCCAACCTGCTGGGAACCGGGACATTCGGGGTCGAGTCGTTTGCTAGACGTACTGACGAATGGTAATGCACTTCAAAAAACACAAATTCGTTATTAAACGCGATCTAGATTCTAGCGCTCCAACACTTGTAAACGCAGTTAAATGTTAATGTGTTACGGTCGTCGCGAATACGTATTACTCCTTCGACCATATTTTAACGATAAAAAGTAATAGATTTTTATAATTTTTTTCGTATCTCCCGTCGCCATTGTGTCGCGCTCATATTCGTCTGGTGTATACCGAAGTGAACGTCCGGTCCGTACCGCCCGAAACGTCGTTGTCGTTGAGGCTCACTGCGCGCCATTTGTCTCGCATTGTGTACTTGTGTGTCGACGACGTAGAAAGTTGTTGCATTCTAAACACTGTGATATTTGTCTTGTACAGGTGATCCCGCCGAAAAATTATATATAGTGTGTGTCCCAGCGTCAGATTGATCAACCAGGATTCGCCTAGGTACGTCGCGATGTCGACGTAGACCGTTCATACACAGACTTTTCCTCAGCTCAGTACTGTTAGCCTACACCAACCGTCGCAATGCCAAGCATCGGTGTCAACCTACGCGTGACCGGTTACTGCAACCAGGGTGGCAGGAAGTACATGGAAGATATGTTTTCGGTGGCCTACCAGCAGACACCGGACATGAAAGACCTGGAGTACGCCTTCTTTGGCATATTTGACGGACACGGTGGTTCGGAAGCTGCTGCATATGCCAAGGACCATTTGCTCGACAACATCATCAAAGATGATGCATTCTGGTCAAAAAACGATGATGACGTATTAAGAGCTATCCGTAATGGTTACGTAAATACTCATATTGAAATGTGGAAAAAATTAGGTACATACATAGCATGCAATGTACTTATAGACTAACACATAAATAACATATTTAATTGTTTAGAAAATTGGCCTAGAACTCCATCTGGTTTACCTAACACGTCTGGCACCACAGCAAGCATAGCATTTATAATGAGAGGAAAAATTTATACAGGTCACGTTGGTGATAGTTGTATAGTACTTGGTTATCAAGACGAAGGTAATAATTTTTATATAGGTATTTTGGTTGACAGTTGTCTTTAAAATTTACTTACACTTATCTTTTCTTGTTTTAGAAAACGGAGAGTGGAAAGCTAAACCATTAACACGAGATCATAAACCAGAGTCATTTGAAGAAAAACTAAGAATAGAAAAGTGTGGAGGCAAAGTTATTAATAAATCTGGGGTTCCTCGAGTAGTATGGAATAGGCCACGCATTGGTCATAAAGGTCCCGTACGCCGTTCAACTACAATTGATGAAATACCGTTCCTAGCAGTAGCTCGTGCTCTTGGTGATTTTTGGAGTTTCAATTCTGAGCATAATACATTTGTTGTATCTCCTGAACCAGATGTTGAAGTTTTCAATGTTGATCCTTCTAAACATCGTTGTTTGATATTTGGTACTGATGGCTTATGGAATGTGCTTTCAGCAGATGTAGCTATTTCAAATGTGTATGGAACAGAAAAACATAATATTGAAATGAAATCTTTAGAAGTAAGATATATCTATACATTTTGTAAATAGATTTCTTTAATTGTATTCTTTTTTTTTAGAAAGTAGATTGGTTAAATCCATCAAAAAATCTTGTTGACAAAGCAATATTACAATGGAATAAAGTAAGATTGAGGGCTGACAATACTACTGTTATTACATTAATGTTAGATCCACCTGGTCCACCTGCTCCACAAGTGCTATTAAAACATAAAATGCAGACTGGCAATATGAAATGTGAAGATAAAAATAGTTGTAAATGTGTTGATGGAGATCCACAAGTTCAAAGATTTGGTCGAGGTTCAAGTAGTGGATATGCCATATTCACTAGATATCCTACAGACCATCATCTAAGAGCATCGAGTGCTCTTGCCAGCACTTCAAAACCGTAAGTGACTTTGTATTTTTACTTTAATATTTTTCCGTGTCTAATGTTTTTACTTTTTTTACACAGATATCCTAATACTCCTTTAGAAACTCCACCTTTAAAAACAAATAAAGTACTCAGAACATCTGCAAAAATTAATAATAATAATAATAATAATAACAATAATAGTGCTAGTAAAAAGGAAGATCAACCAGCAGAAAAACGGTGTACACGGACAAGCAGTGGAAGAATTGTCAAAAAACAAAAATTAAATGAAAAGTCTACAACTAATGATGAGACTTCGAAATTTGGAAATAGTGATTCTGAAAATGAGCAAATGCCACGTGGACCTTGGCTGTTGTCTCCAACTAAAACAATTAAACCTGAAGATACTAAAGTAGGTGTAGTATTAAGAAGTTCTGGAAAAATCCAAAAGGTATGGAAATGTAATGACACCAAAGAAGATTCCACTCCAACTAAGATTACGACAATATCAAAAATTAAGACTCCTTTGACAGAACCAATGACTAGAATATTAAGGTCACACAAAAAAAAAGATAGTAGAAGATTCAAAAAAGTTACATCTAGATCATCTTGGTCAGCGGGCATGGTCACTCGTAGTCATAGGAGAAGTGTTAAATGTTAATTATATTTTCCCTATGTTTATTTTAACTAATTTTACCACATTTTTTCAACTACCAAAATCATTCGATAAGTTTATATTTTGTAGTACCTATTGTTTTTATTGTGTTGTTTGACATAGCTTTGCTTATAACACAGACATTATTATTGTGTTTTTCTTTCCTTATTTGTTTTACCTAACAGACAGAAATATTTTTTCAAACAAATATAATCTATTAAGTATTTTTTTTCTACTAATTTAAAGCTTTTTGATTAGGTAATGACATTTTAAAATTATTTGTTCAATTCATTAGTTATGCTATTGATTATTATGTACATTTTATAAAATCAACAGTTTTATTATATTATTTTTTTTTCTTTTAGAAAAATTGTTAAACTATAATATTATAAAATTTAATTAATAGTTGTGTATAAAACAATTATATTTTTTTAAATGTGAACATTGATTATAAACATATTACCTTTATAATTGTTTACAGGATGTGAAATGTAAATGTTTGTTGAAACTATTAAGAGTAAAATATTAAATCATACAAATTTATATTAAAATTTAAAAATTTTTTCCAGAGACTCATTTATTCCTATTCGACTACGTTTAGTAACCACTAACTAGTAACCTGTAGTATTGTAGTGTATATTATCTGAAATCATGGCTTTGTGCGTTGTTCGTTGTACAAAATGACTTGCATAGACAAGTATATGGTTACGGACCATGATATAATGGACTGGAAACAAACAGCTTATCAGTGTATGGTGTATGTACAAGATGCAACAGCAGGGAGCAATCTTGTTAAGTATTCAAATACTTGTATTTAAATACTTTTTGACCAATGTATTTTAAATACTGAATAAATACTTTTCATTTGTATTTTTGTTTTAGAATACTAAATACTTTTTTTTATTATCGTAGTCTACTCCAATTTCCAAATTCCAATTACTTATATTTCGGAATGTACTATTTTAAATTTTGTTTCTATAATATTATTTTGAAATGGTTTTAACTTTTGATAATTTATAAATAAGGTTTTGCTAAAATACAAACATATAACAGAATGACTAAACGCTGAAACCCCCGTCGGCTCCTCACTCCCAGATTACCTATACCATGGCATACAAGACACTGACCGCCACTGGATGGATTGGCTTCGTATTGATGGCTTTCTATTGGTGAAAGAATTTTCGAAATCGGTTCAGTATCCCTCTATATTTGCTGTGTTACCCCACCACGGGTTTTCAAAAATATTGTTTTTAAAGTATATGTTTATTGCCAGGGTGGCTACTCGCTCGCTACGCTCACTCAGACATTAAAATCGAAAATAAGATTAATAAAAATAATATTTATGAAATATTCACGTATGCACATGTATAAACGCGTAAACGTACAAGCTATAAAATCTAAAAAGGGTCATGGTTCAAAATAATGCGAGTATTGTCCAAAAAATGCAAAAAACATGAATAATTCCTATACTACCATAGAACAACGCCGGTTAAAGCACAAAATAGATGAAAGTAGCAACCCTAGCGTATGCAGCGTAGCCTGTCTGCCTGTGGCCGTTTGATCTTGAGACTCATTTCGGTACATTTTTTCATGTGGGCGGGAGGCCCTACGAGTTTGGTCTCCTATCTTAAACTGTTCTATGCTTAAATCGTGCCCATAATATATACCTTATCATATTTTGATAACATATTTATAATCAATGCTGCTACCACAGAAACCTGAATAGATTAAATGCTATAATCAATGCTACTACCACATAATAGTAAATAGTTTAATACCTATTCGGCCCCAGTGTTATGTACTTATGTCTGCTTTACTTAGTCGTGGTTTAATCATGACAAATTAAATAGGTATGTCAGCAAAATACCCGTTTTTAGACGGGTCGCGCATCCACCCTCCGCCCAGCCATGTACTGTGACGTAAGCATTTCTCCGTTTTTCATTGGTCGGCCTCCGCCGCCGCCGACGACTCCACTCCCACTTCACCGCTCAGCCATAGCCTCGCCGCGCCGCATTTGCTTTACAGAATACAGGCCCACCTCTCTCATCTATATTTTTACTTTTTGATTATAATAAATACATTTTTTATTTTAAAGTTAGATATTATATGCATTTTATTGTTAATTGTTTATTAAAAAAAAAAATATTATTATTATATACCTAATGGTTTGTGCTTTAATTTGTATTAAGGTTTACTAGCTACATGTATTTTTATGCTGTAGTAGTATTTTTTTTCAGAGTTGAAAATATTATATAACATATTAATTCAATAATTTTTTTTTCTACAGCTTATAGGTGTGACAACATTCCTACTAGCCTAAAGTGTCAAGTTTTTTTTTATTAATATAATATTTTGTTTTTTTTTTAATATATTATGTAACATGTTTTGTATTGTATGTTACCTACTATAATATATAATCAAAAGTATTATCAAAAGTTTAAAATTGTTATTTATCCTAGTTGTAAAAACATTACAGATCATAGGGGGATATTAGGAAAAAAAGTCCCCGGAAAAAAAGTTCCCGGTAAAAAAGTCCCCGGTAAGAAAGTCTCACGGAAAAAAAGTCTCCAAATTAATATTTTATTTAAATTCAGTCTTTTATAATATAGGTATTTATATAGGTACATAGCCCATAGGTAATACATGTTACATATTTTTATTGAAAATAATTCTAGGATTAAAAATTATCGTAGATAAGTATTTATATACATAACTAGGTACATTTTAAATTTATTGAAAATAATATAATATCAGAAACATAGAACAATATTATTTAAAAAAAATAAAAATGTAACTATTCAAGTATAAAAGATCTGAAAATTATATAATAGTAAATACAATTTTAACGTACATATTTTATTCAATTTTTTATTATTTTACGAGGGGTGCATGTCTGAACAAATATATTTTTATATTTTTTAAATAATATTATTATATGTTTAAGATATTATATAATTATATTATTTTCAATAAATTTAAAATTTAAAATGTACCTAATTATGTATATAAATACTTATCTACGATAATTTTTAATCCTAGAATTATTTTCAATAAAAATATGTAACATGTATTACCTATGGGCTTTGTACCTATATAAATACCTATATGATAAAAGACTGAATTTAAATAAAATATTAATTTGGAGACTTTTTTACCGGGGACTTTTTTTCCGTTTACCAATGTCCACGGTTAAAAAGTATTCGTAAAACACAGAAATATTCAAAAAATTACAAAATATCCAAAAATATGCAAAATAAAACTCCGTGTTCCATATTGGCTATAATTCAAACTTGTAGCTACTTTTTGGACTATTAAAAAAAAATGCAAATGCATATAAATGTTCAGACCAATCAGACCCTAATTATTAATTATACCTACCGTACTTTTTTACCGCAGTTCGATTTTACTATGTAATCAACAATTTAAATTTTAAACGCTCATTATAAAATATTAATGTGACTATATTTTAGATTCTGAGCGGAGCAATGAATGTATTGATTAAACAATTGTGTTATTTTTTATTAATGTTTGTTATTCATCACGTTTTAGGGCATTAAAAATGCTTCCATTTACTATTTTAGAATAATTTTTTCTGATAGGAAAGTGAATCTAGTTTGTGCTTTCGGGCTAACGAATGAAACTGCCATTCCCTTGAAAATCTTGCGGTATATCGAATAATTAAATGGATTTTGGTACCCTCGATGTAACAAAGTTTTTTTAGCCAAAGTTCTCATGATGTAACGAACTTTTAAAATTTTGTTGCTTGATTATATTACGTATTTATTATTTTTATTAAGTTCTTTACAGAATACTGAGACATGATATCTATGTCAGTGTGTGTATTTCATATTTTAAATTTATAAAACAATTTACCGGGTAAGCACTAAGCGCAAGAGGCTACACAGAATAAAACTGATTTAAAAACAAATAAATATGTGCCTACTGCCCACGTTATACGTACAGGTACAGCAGTACCATGGGGGCTAACGGACCGTATTTTTATTATTTAAAAAAATATATTTTAGCTATAATAAAAATGTATGTACCTACTGAGAATTTTCAATTTTGATCTACCAAAAGTACCACCTGGAACGAATTTGATTCTAAAGGTTAGGTTATATATTTAAGTAACTTAATAAACAGAGATAATTTAAATACTATTTTAGGGGAGATTCCATCATGCCCTTTTGACATTATAATATTTACATTCAACTATTTAAGTAATTAAATAAACACTGATAAGATCATATATAATTAAATGCCAATCAATTACAATGTTGTATAATAGATCAATAGGGCATGATGGAATTATACTTGTGCTATTTTGTCATACTTTCATTAAATATTTACAATTTTTAAGAATGTTATTTAACTGTGTATGTGTTATATTCTCTTAAAAACTAAGTTACATAAATTTGTGTAAATTAATTAGTAAATACTCTGTATCTATAAGTATTTGAAAGTTAATAACAATGCCTAAGTGTGTTTTTTAAAATTGTGATAGTGGTACTAGGAAGAAAGGAAAAAATCAGATGAACCATGAAGTCCATCTGCATAGGTTCCCAAAAGATATAAATGTATGTCTTATGTGGTTGCAACAAATTGAATATGGCCAATCAATTAATGCAAAATCCATAAATATTAAAAGTGGTGAGATCATAGAACATAGATATTACAATTATTCACACATATTGTATTGTTATTTTTCACTTACATTTACTTATTAAATTCCATCCAGCTGTTGTTTGCTCATTGCATTTTGCTCCTTACCATATCAATAAGCCATTGATACAGAAACTATTAAATTATTCACCTAAACGTATGCGAAAACTTAACGATGATGCAATTCCTCTGAGGTGAATAATATCATAGTATCCAGGTTTAATTTTCTTTTTTTTTAGTTCCATTTAATACCAACATTTTTTTTAATAGTATTTTTGGCACCGACTATTATGATATTCCTTTTATAAGACCAGTGAACCCTTCTACACCACTAAACATAGTTGAACCACAGAAAATAAATACGCCTGCTGGAGTATTTGATGTGTAAGTTTCCTATGAATATTTTTTTTATTTTAATAATTTTTAGACACATTTAAATATCAATTTAAGTAGAATTCTAAAATATTTGTATAATAATGCTATGAATACATTATAGAGAATCTAATATTCAACATCAAAATATTTCAAAAAAGTTGGATTTTGTCAACATTGAACTAGGGGTTCAACCATTAGTTGATAAAGTGATGATAACGACAATCCTTCAAATAATGGTCTGATTCAGAAGTAATTTGGAAACTAATTAAATTAATAATACATATTTTGTTAATTCTTTAATGTAATAATTATGTTTATTTTTATGTAGACTAATGGAAACTGTAGATTTCTATAAAAATAAAAATAATGAACTTAAAGAGGACAAAAATAAATTACAAAATAATATTTTAACATTACGTAAAGAGAATGAAGCTCTAAAAAATATTGTTAGTGGAATAGAAAATAATTTTGAATTACGTTTCCATTCTTTATTGTCAAAACTTTTTACGCCAACTCAAATTGATATACTGTTACATCCTAAACTGAAAGCATATAAATGGACTTCTGATGATATTTCATCAGCTATAACATTAAGATCATCACTCCAAAAGCATACAGATATTTGAGGAACAAGAAATGTTTTCCTCTACCAGGTAGGGCAACTAACAATGAAATTATTTTTTTATTTTTTATAATCTTTAAATTTAGGTATGTCTACTTTGTGGACATGGGCTTCTACATTCACAATTCAACCTGGTATTTTAACTAATGTATTAAAACTGATGAAAGCCAAAGGTATAATTGTGTAAAGAAGATCTAAAGATTTTAGACATTTAAATAATATCAACTTTGATTTTTATTTTCCATATATAAGGTGATTTATTAACTGAGGAGGAAAAATTAACAGTAATTTCTTTTGACGAGACATATATTTCACACAGAATTTGTTATGACAAAAAATTTGAAAAAGTATATGGTCCACACAGATGCGTTCAAACCGTTGTAGCTAGAGGTAAGAAAATTAATTAATAATTTTTAATTTATATTAAATGTACTTGAATAAAATTAATTAACCTATAGGGTTATTGAGCAATTGGAAACAACCAATATTTTATAACTACGATACTTCTATGACAAAAGAATTACTTAATAACATAATACAAGCACTACATGAAAATGGTTTTAATGTGATCGCTATTGTGAGTGATATGGGTTCGTCAAATGTTGGATTGTGGAGAGATATGGGTATTTCTATAACAAATACGTCATTTAAACACCCGATGACTAATAGAAATGTACATGTGTTTGCTGATGTGCCGCATATGTTAAAACTTGCAAGAAACCATTTTCTCGATCAGTAAGTTGTCAATTAATACCTGAAATCAAACAAAAAGTTAATTATCAGTTATATTAAAATTTATAATATCACCTTTGTACTCATCTAGAGGATTCATATTACCTAATGGTAAATACATCGGGAAGAATATATTGCAACAATTAATCAAGTTGAACGGAGGAAATGATTTCAAGCTAGCACATAAGATTTCTGACCGTCACATTTCTGTAGAGGGTACAGCTCGAATGAATGTACGGTTAGCTGCAAATGTATTTTCAAATACAGTCGCCAAAGCCATATTATTCTGCGGAAACAACAAATATATTAATGATTACAACTGGAAAGAAGTAAAGTTATACACTATTAAATTAGCAATTAAAAATATGTACAGGCGATAGTCATGTTTGACTAGTGTATCATTATGATTATTATTGTAAATGTATCTTGATTTGTTAGACGGGGTGACATTTGTAAAAAAAATTTAATTATATTAAATAATTATATTCAGCTCTTTTATTATAAAATAATATAAATAAATTTTAATTGATTTGTTTTAATTATAATTTAATACTATATTTATTTTAATTTTGTTAATAATACTAATATAAATCATTTATTACTAGAGTTTTGATTTCAAACCAAAATAAAAATGTATACAATTTTGACTAATTAACTTTTTTTTTTTATCATGGTATCGAGGACTGGACTAGGAACTATGGTGCCAGTACTTCTCCTAAAATTTGACTAATTAACTGTTTAATACCTAAGCTAAACTCATTGCCGTTAAAATTCAAACACAGAAAAAATACTAACTTTAAATATTACCATACCATGTGAAACATTGCTTAGTGAGAATCATTTTGAATAGCATAAACAAAACTATTCTGGAAATATCCTATAAAAAACATACAAATTAAAAGTTAGGCAATTATGAATAATAAATATTAACTCACAGTTAACTAGGTACATTATACATTATCTTCCTTTGTTGTCTGATGTTTTCTGTAATACTATGTTTTTTCTAGATAAAAAACTAAAATTTATTCCAGAAATGAAACTTATTTAGTTAATTGGAAAAAATAAAAGGACTTGCTAGGTACACGCATAGCAAATTAAATAATGAAAAAAAATATCAAAATATTCTGTGATAATGACATAGGTAATAACCGTACGTTCAATTTATTACGTTCAATTAGTTAATTAGTAGTATATTTCTTATTTATGGGACACATTTTTTTTTTAAACTAATGTAGTTAAATACGGTGAAAACGATGATGAAGTCAGAATTTGGAGCTCGGAAAAGTTTTGAAGTTATGACACTTCAAAGTTAGTAGGCACCTATATAACATGTTAACTTAAGAAATTCACAGATTCGGGCGGTCTATCCTAACTTTTTTTTAAATTGTTTTTATGATAACTGATGCAACAATAAATTAGTAATTACCCTGTGATCTGCTTGAGGTGGTGTTTCATAACAAGTCGAGGGATATATTAAATTTTCGGAGCGGAGGCACGGCACTCTGTGGCGTGTGCTGCAAACTGTGTAATCACTGCAGGTCTGCACTATTTGAAATCTGAAGGGTCATAATTTCGAAATTATGTCCGACCGCCAAATTCTGACTTCACCATCGTTTTCAGCGTCCTTAATTACAAAAGTTTAAAAAAAAATTGGAAAAAAAAAATGTTCCGCACGGCGCACAGTAGAAATGTTCCGGTCTGTCCGGATAATGATAATATGATTGTTTTTATAAAATAATAACGTTTGATAACAGTCGGAGAAATGCTTACGTCACAGACATGCGTATCACAAAGTTGCTGACATACCTATTTAATTTGTCATGGGTTTAATAGTTTTTAGTTTAAAAATTCATTACGGGCCGAATGCCTAGTCAACTTTTTTTCCGACAACTTTATGTTCTTAATTTTTTAGTTATTTATTTATATTTATGTTAACCAATTTTTAATTCTCTAGTCACTCGACTTTTATTAATGTGCCTTAAATTGTCAAGATGGAACATATAAAAACTCCAAAAGTAATTTATATAATTCCTAGTCGCGTCCTCATAATTATAAATATTGAAAATATACTTAATAAATAAGAGTTGGATATTGTGTTGGGTGCTTGTGGCTGAGGTTAACACATAATGCATGTGTGCTAGATAACTAGATTCCTTCTTAAATTATCTCAATCTACACAATCCCTAACCTACCCACCTGTAGTGTTTTATTATTCAACTCTGAGAGGTTATGGCAAGTGGTTTGTATTCTGTAGTTATTATAGTAGATCTAACCCAGGTTGTTGTGCATGCTTTTGTAGGACACGCAGTGAGTTGTGTGTATAAGTCTGTAACACATGCAGTTGTATGGCCGAAAAAGACAGGTTCGTGTCACCGGCTGGCTTCCGTCTGTACCGTTTGTCATCAGCTCCCGGATCGTACTCTCTGTTCTGCCGCTTGAGGTCGTGGCTACAGCGTGAAGCTGCCATGGCCAAAGTGGCCAGGCAACAGCAACAGGACGGTTCGGTCATTAAAAAGGTACAACGTGTTATTCAGTTAAAAAAGAATGCTGATTAATAATTAAAATTATTATAACAAATATAAAAAAAATCTACATTAAATATGATTTAAAATATTTTATTCAGCTAATGACTTTTAAAATCTATCAAAAGATAAATGATTTGTCGATTATTAATTAATAATATTTTATAAACACTCTTAATATTTACTTTATTTAAAACATAGGTATTTTTTTTAATTTTAAAATATAATATTGAAGACAATCAAGTTAGCATAACTATTAATATAACAAAGATAACATTAAAGAAAAAATCATATATAGTTTATATTATAGGACATTTATTAGATATTTCTATTTTAAACTTATTAAACATTTGAGTTTTAAGTTGCCAAGTTATCACCAGTGGCGCCGACCCTATGTCCAAGTATGTGACCGAAACACTTGTCTTAAAGTGGTGGTATTCAACTAGTATTAATGGGCGTATTAAGTTTGATCTTTTAAGATAATAACTGTAGGTATGATAAAAATAAAGACCAAAAAGAATATAAAAATAAACAAATTAACTTGCAAAGCTAAGAGGTACAAATATAACTATATTATAATTATGAAAACCACATTACAATCTAAAGCTGTAAAATATTAAATAATTTTGATTAGAAAATTATAATTATTATTTTTATGGTTTGTAAATAAAGTTTTTATTAGATTCACAAAGGTTTAGCTATACATTTATGCATTATACTTAAACAAATTAGAGACCTATATTTTTAGTTTATTCATGTTCCAATTTAATTAGTACCCGTCATTAATAAATAAGTGAATATATTAATTCAGGAGTCTGGGGGCATTCACTCGGGTCTGTAAAGATTTGCAACATAACTTGGAATGAACCTCGGCACCACTGAATTCCCCTATACTTCATGGTCATAGTAATGTCTTTCAAACCATTTTTTTTAAAACAAAATATTCATTAGATTAATTTTAAATTGTTCAAAGTAAGCAACACAATATAAATAAATAATTTTAAAACCCATTATTATAAAAGTTTACCCTATAACTGCATGATTTTGCATATGTCATATATGCATGAAATTATAACCCCTTATCCACTAATTGTGTACTCATATATATATTTTAAAAACAATTTGTTATAAGTTATATTTAAAACAATATTACATTTAGGTGCCATGTTTTATTTATTTATTTTGTTAGACCTGATTCTTATGTAGTTTAGAATATTAATTTAACAATTAGCAGAATAATTATATACAAAAACTATTTCACTAAAGCCAAAGTTTTACATATAATTTAAGGATAGTTATTTTGAAAATATACAGTTATCTAAATATCTAATACATACTATTTACATACTCTTTTTCACGAGCATGTAAAATGATTCAATTGGTGCGTGATCACGCTTACAACAAATAGTTGGTGGGAGATACGCTGCAGAGACCGGTTTTGGTCGGAGGACGGTCATGTTCTCTCGTAAAAAAGAGTATAGATATAATTCTGTAATAACTAAAATGATTTATCCTAATTTTAATACAAAGTAAAGTGTAAAATATATAGATTTTAGAACAATTTGTTCATTTCCCTGCATTTTTTAGGATTACATTTTTTATGAGTAATCTAAAACAAAAATATTATAGATCAAAATTTGAGTTGAGATGGTACATTATAAAACCATTATTATATTTTGCTCTGAGGTGAGCAAATGCGTATCTGGTGTCCAACACTTAATCCCTGTTCTTTATCATGCTTATTTTTTTAAGAAAAACCTTAATATGTATTAATTGACAGAATGTATTTATTAAAAATTTTAATAACACCATTAACATCTATTAATCTCTAAAACATGAAAAGATAATTATAATTTGATGGTTTTGTAAAATATTTTAATCCTATATGGAGGTCCCATTGCACCAATATGATGTGAATATAATAAATTAATAATATATGGAATAAAGTAAAAAATATAATCAGTTTCATTACAGTTTATATTATTTAACAGTTTTATTAACTTTAAAATAAGTTGAGTTAAGAAAAATAGTTTATTAACTTAACAGCTTATTCAAATATAATGAAGTACCTAATTTTTGATTAATTATTTCATTTTTAATACAATTTTAAGTACTTAAGAATCCATTAAATGTGAATAAAAACAATATTCAAAACAATTAATGAAACAAAAAATATATTTGAACAATTTATCAACATATTTATGTATACATACTCTATTGAAAGAAATATTTTATATTGTTTAAAAACAAACCTTACTTTCTAATTTCTTAAAAATAATAATAATAACAGAATCCATATTATCAAATACATTACCATAAATTTCTCTCTAAACTCTCTAACATCCCCACAAGAAAACTAACATGATTAATCCTAGGAAAAATATTGAAAAAAAAATTATAACCTATGTATTGAATAGTTCTTAAAAATGAACCATTAATAGTTATGTAAATGAGAGAAGGGGCCCCTCAGTTCACTCAAGACTTGTTTGCCATAATTTAATTTTATATGTTAAGTTTAATACACCACATTAGGATTGTTTGTTTAATTCCAATGTAGTGAACTAGAAACATTATTTATGATCAAAATGTACAAATTTCAAACTATAATGTCACAAATTAAAAAATAATTTAGTCTCTAAACAAAATTCATCTCAAAAATATAGTTAGTAGTAGTCGTTGTTATAACTTTTAAGATAAAACATAATATATTAATATGCTTTTTAAAAATATGAAATGCATGGTATAAAATTTGAGATTAGAAAAAATCATGTGTCTTCAATAACTTTGTGTATTTATTAATATCTAATGTGGTTTACTTTGGAATATTCAAGATGGTATTTTGCTTTGTGACTAATAACACAATTATTTTTAGCTTAGGTATTGACATCTTTTAGATATAATTTAGATGTGTATCAATTCAAATTAACTTTAATTTATACCACACATAGGTCAAAGCTGCCCTTCATAAAAAAAAAGCTTAAGTAGCTCACAATTTAAAATGCTATTAACTTGTGCTTAAAGTTACTTAAAGTATTAATTTTTATATATTAAATCTGAGTTAATTGATTAAAATGTATACTTTTATTAATTTCAGATAGAAAATGTACGAATGTTAGACCGATATAATTCCAAAAAAACGTCAGCTGGTACATTATATTTAACAGCTACCCATTTAATATTTTTCGATACTGAAAATAATAAAGAATCGTGGGTGCTGTTAATGCATATAGGCAATGTTGAAAAATTACCTATTACAACTACTGGTTGTCCAATTTTAATACGATGCAAAACATTCCTATCAGTCACATTTGTCATACCAAAAGAAAGAGATTCTCACAATATATTCACGTCACTGCTTGTTCTCTGCCAACCTGGTTTGTATTTACATTGCTATTTGATTTGTGAATATGCATTAATCTAAAGATAATGAAATATTAATACAAATTTTCAGCAAAAATCGAAGATGTTTACTGTTTTTTATATAAATCAAACTCTGATAAGATATCAAAAAGTGCTGGTTGGGATAGTTTTAATCTGGAAAAAGAATACCAAAGAATGAATGTACCAAATGAATCTTGGAGTCTTACTACATTAAATCAAGACTATCAGGTTTATATTTTTAATTAATTGTATTTTTGTAATCCTGATATGTGTATGATACATGATAATAATTGTATTACAATCACATACAACTGCCCATACAATTAATACATTATTTCAGTTGTGTGATACTTACCCAAAGTTCCTTTTTGTACCATCGTCTGTGAGTACATCTATTTTGGTGGGCAGTTCAAAGTTTCGTAGCAAGGAACGGTTACCAGTACTTACATACTTACACGGAAACAAGGTATTATTACAGACATTTTTTGTTTCTTGAAGTATTCATTTTTTCACTTTTAGGCGTCAATTTGCCGCTGTGCGCAACCATTATCTGGATTTAATGCCAGATGTTTGGAAGATGAGCAACTTCTCACATGTATACTATACACAAATCCAGGTAGCGAGTACATGCATGTTGTTGATACCAGACCAAAGGTAATTTTATTGGCAAAATAATTAAGCAAGACTTATTACTTGATGTTATTATATGTACATTTTTAGATAAATGCCATGGCAAATCGAGCAACAGGGAAAGGTTATGAAAATGAAAACTTTTATGATAGTATTAAATTTAATTTCTTAGGTATAGAAAATATTCATGTAATGCGAAATAGCTTGTCCAAAGTTGTAGATTGTGAGTTCCATTGTTGTACAAGTTATAACTTAATAAATAATACTTACTTAACTTTTTGGTTTTGATTTAAATATTAATATCCTTTACTAGTATGTGAACAACGAAATCTATCTATGTCGCAATTTATTGGAGGATTAGATAGTAGTGGTTGGTTACGGCATATCAAAACTATTCTCGATACATCAGCTTTTATATGCCAAGCAGTTAATAGTGGGAAGTCTGTTGTGGTCCATTGTTCAGATGGATGGGATCGAACAGCTCAAGTCTGTTCACTAGCTTCTCTAATGTTAGACCCATATTATCGCACACTCCAAGGATTCCAGGTAGAATTAAATATTTTGCTGAAAATTTTAAGTTATATTCTGATTTTTAATTTTATTAAATACTAGGCGCTTATTGAAAAAGATTGGTTAGCATTTGGTCACAAATTTAGTGATCGGTGTGGCCATATAGCTGGTGACTCTAAAGAAGTCTCTCCAGTATTTACACAATTTATAGAAGCAACATGGCAACTCACAATGATTCAACCTACTTCATTTGAATTCAACGAACGATTTTTATTAATTTTACATGACCATGTAACATCCTGTCAGTATGGGACTTTCATTGGAAATTGTGAAAAAGAACGCTTTGATCTCAAGTAATTTTATTTTATTTCATAAGTTAGTTAAATAATTTATTTTTTTAACATTTATACTTAAAATAATTGTTTAGACTCAAGGATCGTACATTTTCTTTTTGGGGTTATGTTGAAGAACATAAAAAAGAATTTTTAAATCCTCTTTATAGTGCTCAAATAGGAACTATGAGCCCTGATTTATCACCACAAAATATAAGATTTTGGCGAGGAATGTATTGTCGTTTTGAAAATGGAGTCCATCCACGGGAGCATGTATATGACATTTTACTAGCGACTAGTGAACAGACAAAATCCATTGATGATCATGTAAAATTCCTACAAAAAAGATTATCATATTTTAAACGTAAAATAACTGATGGTGCAGACATGGTCAAAAACAGTCTGTTCTCAAAAGAAATATGTATAGAGCCTATGAGCTACAACAGAGAAGAAAATATTATACAATCTATGAATGATGCATTTGATAATTTAACTGTTATGGAGCCAAAACTAGATGAAGCCCATAAGGTGGCTATTGAATGGAAGAGCTTACGTGAAGCAGTTTCTTGTGAATGTTCTACTGATTCTTCTACAAAAAAAGTAATATATTATTGTTATTTGTTGTAATTTTAATGATTTAATTGTATTGAAATATATCTTATTACAATAACAAATAATGACCCAAAACGGGAACATTACCACTAGCTCTTAAAATAAATAGTGTATCGAGATTATGAACACAAATAGATCAGCATAATAGTAATATCGATACACTCAGGGTCGTTCAGATGGGGGGGGGGGCAACGGGACATTTTTAGGGGCCCCCTTAAAGTATTGATGTTAATAATTAATAATAAAGAACGGTCACCGTTATTGTTCTTATTAAGCTTTCTGTCTCTACAAAAGACTAAAATATCCTTCCTATTTTTATCATACTGTATCTTTCTGTCGAAGGGCCCCCACATTAATTTACCCCTGACCCCGAAAAACCTTGGTACTGCCCTGGATACACTATTTATAAGTGTGTTATTAACATATAAGACACCTATCTCTTAGACCTCAGTACACGACAAGGAAACCGATTCCAAGAGAAGTCTGTCTTATGTGTTGTTATATTCGTGCTACAGTAATGTTTGTTAACATTATCATTTAAAGCCCCTGAAAACGTGTCATTTTTAAGGAGTTGTGCCTGTGGTTAGGCAATTATTTCGTTCCTATGGTCACTAATTGTCTTTGTGTGTGTAAAAAGTGATAATTAGTGTTCATATATTTCCCACCAATCACCCGCATCATACATATTACTCACCCGCATGCACATGTCATTTTCACTCGACATTTTCAGAAAGATATAATTTCTTATGAAATGTATTTTTTTGTCAATAATAACCACCAATTAAAACCCCCGAAATTCAGTTTAATGTATGCCACTGACCCAATTTGATTAAACTTGTTTCCCATTAACAATAATTACCACATTTTTGTTTTTGTTATTAATCTAAATACTGTCACACCGCATATTATACATCTTTTAACTATATTTTATTATAGATTACATTAATTACATTAATATTTATATTTATACTTTATATTTAGTACCACTGTTGGAAATGTGGAAATGTGTTTTGCACTCGCTGTATAGACATGAATGTTTCATTACCTGGACACCTTAGTCAAGATCCTGTGCCTGTATGTCACGGATGTCGTAAAATTGTTTCAAGATCATCGACAGAATCTTCTTAAGTTCATTGTGTTATTATTTAACTAATTATTAGTTAATTTTACTAACTTTAAGACCATTTACAATATTTATACTTAAATCTGTAAATATAAATACCTATTCCAGTTATAAATTCATTATATTATGAACATATAGCCTAAATTATCTCATAGGTCTCCAATTTTTTAATAGTGCCTACTCAATTTGTCTTTTTTGTTAGAAATAAAAATTATCACACAATATTTTCTTTATCACACCAAATAATATATAATTTAAATAAGCTAAAATGTTATATTGACTTTAATTATATTCTGTGCAAATTGAAAATAAAATCGGCACAAATTGAATAATAGTTTATTAAAAATTATTTTATTTTAATCATACTATTTATCAAACTTTAAATAATTTAATTAGGTATTTAAATTACATTTATATAAAACAAGATCAATAATATTCTAATATAAATATGAAATAATATTGATTACTGAATTGTGTTGTATGCCTAATAGTTTCAGTTTTAGATATTTCATAAAGTAAGACCATAAAACTATATTATTATTAACTTAAAATTTGAGTAAAACAGTAATTGATAGTATATAATTGTAATGAAGTTTGTTTTACATTTATATTAAATAATAAATACTGAATATTACATATTACATATTCTGGTTGAAAAATTGGATCAAACCTATACAATTGAAAAGTGATATCTTAAGGTATATACCTACAAATAATAAATTAAGTTCTAGTTTTTAGATTTAATAAAAATTTAAGTTTTAATAATGTAATTCCATTTCCTATACCATATTACTATATATATTTATTATTATATTACATTATTATAAACTAATAGATATTGATTTCTGAACAATTATAAAAGTTTTTTTTTAATGTTTATACTAAGCAAGGTCCTCAACATTTATTTTCTGTGCATAACTGTATAAGAAATGTAACACCACGTGTTGTCTCCGTCTTACAAACGTAAAACATAGCAACATTTTTTTAAAAGCGTATAATATATAACTGAAAAGAATATTGATTGCATTTTTTAAAACCTTGTAAAATTTCCTTGTTGTTTTAATAAGTATTTTGTATGTGTATAATAAGTAATCTATGTATTTACGGATTTCAGTACACTTGCCATTGGCACAACTAGAGGAATGCAAAAGCGTCTTTTAGCGGCCCTCGTATTTTTAAGTCCAACTCATGGTTGAAATATTTAAACCATGGGTCCAACTATTATTTTTATAGTGAAATACCATACATTTTATATTTTTTAAATTATGATATATTTACTGAAAAATTTTTTTAACTTTTTTGGCCATTATATATTTATATTACCTAATTTATTTTACATTTTTACATACTTCTATTTAAACAATGCCTATTACAAAAAGTGAATTGCTTATGAGCTATTATTATAGCCAATAGGTCACATCAAAAAGCACTAAATATATGAATGCTATTGGGGACTCTGTATTACTGGTAACCCCCCATAATTTTTACCCGTCAAATCTTAATATATCTATTAATAAAAAGAGTATTATTATTGTATATATTATTCATATTATATATTTTGTTTTAATCATTAATATAAAGTTTGTTCAAATGTGTATAAACAATGTTCAAGTATTGATTATTTTAGATTTATAACTTGTAAGATCTTGTAATTTTGGAACAGGGGGTGTGGAGGGAAAAGCCCCCCCAAGGCTCTGTGAGTCATTTACAAGTGCAGTTAGCACCCCACGTTTTAGAGATCTAGTTGCGCCCATGCGCTGTGCTCTCATAGACTTGGAAATTGTAGAAATTTCAGCACTTGACTTTTGGAACTAGGTATAGAAATTAAAGTTTTCCATAGGCCAATGGGTTAGGTGCAATGGCGCCAAATACGGGTATCAACTGAGGAAAATTCCCCAGAACTATTTATGGTGGGGTACTTGGGTCAGCTGTCGCCTGTCAGATGGGTGTGTGGGTAATAATAAGTGATCAGTCGTTAGTGGTATTTAATATTTAAACATCGTCATAATTTAACAATAATGGTACCTAAGTGTAAAGAATAATAGTATGAGTATGGCAGGTAGCCAGGCAGAATATCACGAATCACGATTATAATGCACTATTCGAGAGTAGCTAAGCATTTTTTTTAAGTAGGTGGGTCTGACACTTGTATTTTTTCCCCATAACATGAAATTTAGATCGGCCACACTGGTTAGGTGGGAAAAGCACCAATCAGCCTCAGCTCTCTAAATTTCTAATTACAATTTACAAGACATTTTCGGATTACTTGCCAACCATAAATTATAACTAGCCTTAAAATTAAATTATATCAAAAAGGCAAAATCCTATGAGATACTGAGATATGCTCTAAACAGGGCCGGATTGGCCATGGGAGTTACCAAGTAAAACTATCGGTGGGCCGCGGCAATTTTGGGCCGTTCAAGTCATGAGAGGCCGTGCTGACTGAAAATATGTTAAGAGCATAGGCGTAATTTCGCTAAAATTCAGGGGGTGCAAAACTAATCAGGAAAGTTACAAACTTTCTACAAAATTGCAAAATAGGTACCGCTTGAACATTTATTTACTACTTTTTCAATACTAGTTCCTCGATCAAAATTCAAAATTGTATACACAATTTAGTATTATCATTAATAATATGAAGTAAATACATTTTATTATATAAATTAAAATATTAGTAGACACTGTAATTTATTACATTGATATAATATTAATACATATTAATTAACAAAATTAAATTAAACTTAAGCATCTGCCATGTACAGTTGCTGCTGCATTGAACTCGTCGATTACAATTTATTTCAGAATCTATAACTCGATTTCTATCAATTTGTAAGTTGTAACATAGCTATATCAGACACAGAGTCGGACTGGGTACTAAGGGCCCCACGCCCCCACCGGCAGTTTACTTATACAGAGGGCCTCAACAGTCAACAATAGTGATAAATAATAACTCTCTTGTAAATTTGATAAATTTTTTTCACAAAAAATGATCATAAATAAACTTTATAATTTACAATTGTTACTCAAAACACCATATTTATCTTTATTTACTGATTTCTTTAGTTAAATTTATTTACAATTTATTTTATAGTATATTTTAGAGATCAATTATAATAAATTATCAAAATTTTTGGTAACTACCTATTTTGATAATTGTTAAAAATGTTATTTATTAATTTAAGACAAGGAGGAAAATGTAGAAGGCTTTATAGAATAGTATGTACCTATAGAACAGGGGCGGATTGGGCCACCGGGAATTCGGGAGTTTTCCCGGTGGGCCGCTTTTTCAAATAACTATGTATTCTTAAATTCCTATTAGGTACCAGCCCAGTAAATTTGCATTTTTTTCCCGATTTTTCAAAATAAGATAATACGAATTGGATTGCGGACAGTATGCAATAGTAGGTATATCAGGTAGGCAATCTATGATGGCGCAACGATGAGAGACAGAAAGCAAAAATATAGTATTTTTCGAAAAGCAAAAACAGCAAATGTAATATAGCGGGGTCACTAGTTAGGACAGTTAAAATCGAAAACAACCCTTGATATTATGTTATGTAAAACCACATTGGGTGATCTCTAGGTAACGACAAACTTCGGAAAAAGTCTACTTTACTTGACATCCCGTGGAAGTAGAAAATAGAAAAAGTCAACCTGATTTGAGCAGTAAGCACTGTAATATTCAAAAACTATGATTTGCTGTAACTTTTGAACAGTGTTTAAATTTCCGAAAATTGTTTTATACACTTTTTAATTCAGTATACTAATACAGTAGTACACGTATTTCGGGTGTAAAAAATTTGAGCGTCATTCGTTTGGGCGAATAATCCAAAATTAACTTGAGTAAAGCATATATCATTTGGGTCAGAAATTAACCGATCGTTTAGGCGAATTTATAAATTATTGAATAATAGGGAAGTAACATTACGTAGGTATACAATAATTTCTATAATATTTAGTTACTAAATATTATTATTATATCGTTTCGGCTGATCGGTGAATACAGATAGTGAACGATAATTTGTTAGATTGTACTAAGACGGAGACAAAACATTTTACTCAATATTATATTACATAATAATACTAAAGGAAAACAAGACTATACAATTTTTCTGATTGTTTAGAATTGAAGTACCTACATAATGTTATTATGAATAAACCACAGTAAAACATTTTTTTAGAAAATAAAAAAAAACACATACATTTTGCATGTTGATTCTGTTAATTTACCTATCAGGTATATTAAGTGGAAGTAAATTATAAGATTTTATTTAAGTCTAAAAACGCATTATTAAATATTATTGAATAGGTAATAACCTTTCTTATTAAATACAAAAATCGTAACATTAGTAATTTAAATTATTCACTTTTACTGTGTTATATATAAGTACTTGGAGTTTGGACTATTATAAATGTGTAAACATAAACTGTTCAAAAATAAAAATAAATTTGATATCGATGTATATACACTAAGAATAAAGTTTTATAAATTTCATATCTGGCCAAACGTGTAGTTATGTTAAAATAGTAATACATAATAATATTATGTTGGCTAAAATTAAATATTTGGTAAATTGGTAAGCCGGTATACTTTGTATTTTCCCGGGCCGGAATCTCTCCCCAATCCGCCCCTGCTATAGAATCAAACACGTGTTAATTGTTAAGACACAATATAAACAATTAATATTGAAATAACAATATCATTTTTAATAGAATTTTTATATTTTTATAAATCAAGGAAATATACGTATCATTGTGTACCTACTGATTGAAGTATTCCTCAAAGCAATAAGAATAGGTTTTCAGTTCTAAAAATAAATACCTCTAAAATTCCAATATTGATCAATCATATATATTATTATTTTTAATTGGCATCGATGAGACGATAACAGAAACGTTGAGACGTCACAAACATGTTTTGTCCGTCTAAACTACACTGTTTTTTATGTTTGATTATTATTAAACAAATATAATATATTATATAAATGTACAGTTCATATATTTA